GACCCTTTTGTTTTTGTTTTTCTTTTTTTTTTTTGGGATGATGTCTTGCTCTGTTGCCAGGTTGGAGTGCAGTGGCGAGATCTCACCTCACTGCAATCTCTGACTCCTGTGTTCAAGCAGTTCCCTGCTTCAGCCTCCTGAGTAGCTGGGACTACAGGCGCATGCCACCATGCCTGGCTAATTTTTTTGCATTTTAGTAGAGATGGGGTTTCACCATGTTAGCCAGCATGGTCTCGATCTCCCGACCTCACGCCTGCCTTGGCCTCTCAAAGTGCTGGGATTACAGGTGTGAGCCACCGTGCCTGGCCACAGCTTTTGTATTTTATTTTATTTTATTTATTTATTTATTTATTTTGAGACGGAGTCTTGCTCTGTCACCCAGGCTGGGGTACAGTGGTGTAGTCTTGGCTCACTGTAACCTCTGCGCCCGGGTTCAAGCGATTCTCCAGCTTCAGCCTCCCGAGTAGCTGGGACTACTGGCGTGTGCCACCATGCCTGGCTAGTTTTTGTATCTTTAGTGGAGACAGGGTTTCACCATATTAGCCAGGCTGGTCTTAAACTCCTGACCTCATGATCTGTCCACCTTGGCCTCCCAAAGTACTGGGATTATAGGCGTGAGCCACCATGCCCAGCCTAAAATACAGCTTTTATGTGGGTGCAGAGTTGATATAACATTATATACTCTAATATGATTTGAGAAAAAGTGAAATCATTATATGACACTTAAAAGGAAGGTGAAGGATCTGAAGCTAGAGAATTAATTCCAGGAAGGGATGGCTTGATAATTTTTATAAGATTTGGCTTAAAAGAAAAAAAAAGACAACAGCCCAATCAGCTTGTGCCAACCAAGACAAGTTTCCAGATGCCATTAAGAAAATAAATGAGGCCGGGCGCGGTGACTTAACACCTGTAATCCCAGCACTTTGGGAGGCTGACCTGGGAGGATCACAAGGTCAGGAGTTCGAGACCAGCCTGGACAACATGGTGAAACCCCGTCTCTACTAAAAATAAAAAAATTAGCCAGGTGTGGTGGTGTGCACCTGTAATCCCAGATACTTGGGAGGCTGAGACAGGAGAATTGATTGAACCTAGGATGTAGAGGTTGCAGTGAGCCTAGGTCATACTATTGCGCTCCAGCCTGGGTGACAGAGCAAGACTCTGTCTCGGTGGGGATGGGAGGGGGGAAAGAAAATCATTGAGGAGAAGGGATAGCATAGCTGCCTAAACATGTCTTTTTGTTTGTTTGCGTGCTTGCTTTGAGACAGAGTCTCATTGTGTTGCCCAGTCTCACTGTGTTGCCCAGAGTCTGTGTCGCACAGACTGGAGTGCAGTGGCGCACTCTGGGCTCACTGCAACCTCTGCCTCCCAGGTTCAAGCAATTCTGGTGCTTCAGCCTCCTAAGTAGCTGGGATTACTGGCGTGCGCTCCCACACCCAGCTGATTTTTATATATATGTATGTGTATATATATGTGTATATATATATGTATGTGTATATATATATGTGTATATATATGTATATATATATGTGTGTATATATATATAATGTATATATATTTATAACATATATATAATATATATATTATATATATAAATATATATGTATATTTTATATACATATATATTTTAAATATTATATATATATATATATAT